GTGGGGGGATAGAGCCTGGGGTGGGGGTGCAGACTATGGGGCCTGGGGATGGAGCAGAACTCTGCCCCTCCAGCCCTTCTCCCCACATCAAACTCAGTCTCCCAGACGGAGGCTCAGTGACTAGGATTGTCTGACCACACGCCCTTTTCCTGACCGAGAGGTCGTTCCTGAGGCTGCAGAATGGCCATCGAGGTTGTGTGGGGCCAGCCCCGTCTTAGGCGCGTAGCTGGTAACATCTGGCCCGCACCCCTCCTGTTCCCTGAGCTGCTTAATTGCTGGGTTTAATGATCAGCCGTGAGGGGGAGGTGCTGGATCGCACAGCCCCTTCCCCTTGCGTATTTCTTAGGGCTTGTTCCATGAGAGGGCAGGTGACCAGAGGGTGCTCACCCCACTCAGCGGCGGGAAGAGGACAGGGCAAGGAAGGAGGGTGGGAGGAGAGGAAGGGGCAGGAGGGAGCCCCAGACTTGAATGTGGAACCAGGTTAGTTCTTTTTCTGGAGAGGCAGGCCTGTGGGGCATCCCGCACCCTTATGGCTGGCCCCCTCCTGGCGGGGTCAGACTGACAGGCAGAGCCGGGCACAGAGTCACCCACTTCACTTTTTCTGGAGAGGCAGGCCTGTGGGGCATCCCATACCCTAATGGCTGGCCCCCTCCTGGCGGGGTCAGGCTGACAGGCAGAGCCGGGCACAGAGTCACCACTTCGCCCTGTGGCTGAGGGTAGAGGGATCTCTGTGAGCCCTGAGCTGGTCCTGCCAACACACCTCTGGGGCCTGCAAGGGGAGGGCAGGCACACTGCTTGGACTTGTTTGCAAAGCTGGTTTGTTGAGCACCCGGGATGTCTCATCCCCCTGCTCCTACCGCAAAGCTCCTGGGGGCCTGGGGGCGGCAGGAAGCAGGCGTGTTGCCTAGGGAGAGAGAGCTGAAATCTTTCCCGGTCCAGGGGCCCAGGGGCCTTGCCTGGCCGGGCTCTGCCTCCCACAGCCCCCAGGGCCTGCACCCCAGGAGGAGTCTCATCCTGATGCCTGCCTCCCAGCTCTGGTGGCTCTGGCTTCAGGCTTCTCCGACTCCCGGGGCTGAGCGTGTCCCCGGGCGCCCCTGTGAAAGCCAGCCAGCTTCCGCCCGCCACGCGGGGCCAGCCCTTGGAGCAGAACTCGGAGTGGGCACCACGCGGCCCCTTTCTCCCCTCCGCACCGGGTGGGAGTGGCTGAGGCTTGGGTGGGCGCTGGCCTTGGAGAGCTGAGGGTAGTCGTGAGATGCCTGCTCCGGTGAATGTTTGGAACTCACATTTGCATGTACCAGATACTTTTCCCCTTAAGAAAACTTGGGAGTCCTGAGTCAGTCCTCAGAAATGCGGTGCCTGGAGGAAGAGGGGGTGGGGCGCAGGCCTCAGGGCACAGCGGACAACAGTCCTCGGAGGGCCTCTCAGTGAGCAAAGGCACAACCCGGCTCAGGACCGGATCCCACGCGTGTTCATCAGTCCCCGGCCCAGAAACAGGCCCCACCCCAACGCACCTGCTCCCCGCGAAATCCTAGAGTGAGGTCTGGGACGAGCGAAGAAAGTCTTACCTCTTTACGCAGGGAAACAGCCAGACGCATGGAAATAACTGCCGCCAAAGGGGTGCAGGGGGGCGTATAGAACAGTGTGCGATGCCTGGAGACACCTTGGCCACGTGGGTCATTACCTGGGGGTGCCTGGTTTCACCCAGGCCTGCCCTCCCTCCTTCCAGCCCCACCCTCCTCCCTGCAGGAGCCGAGGTGGAGGGTGGAGCACGGAACCCTTCTGTGTCCTGTGATCTCCTGGTTTGGCTTTGGCCCCAGGTGGGGAGGCAGGGGAGAGCCCGCCCTGGCCTGGGGCTGTGCGCACCATGTGGCAGCTCGCACTTCCTCAAGGTCAGCGGGCAGGCAGCGTGGGGCCTGCCTGGCACCTGACCTGTCCTCTCCTGGCTGGGTCATCTCCCCCACCCCTGCTGAGCACTGCGGTGGGGTGTGTGTGTGTGTGTGTGTGTGTCGGGGAGGGTGGGTGTCCCTGCTCCCTCCTCCCCCAGCACAGCCTCCCAGGTGACCCAGATCGGGCTGGGCATCCCTGTGCCCAGGCCCCCAGGTGGACCCCGCTGGCAGAACTTCCCAGGCTGAGAGGGGTGCGGGGGGTGCTGGGGAGATGAAGGCCAGTCTGGTTGGCCCACCTCTCGGGCGCCTTAATATGGGCGGGCTCTGGACTTGGGAACCCCGTCTCTGGCTGTCCTGTGTCCCCTCCGGGCCCAGCGGGAGTGGCAATGCCTCACTCTGGGCATCTGGGAGCTCAGTGTGAGCCAGGCCATCCCCACAGGCGCCCTCTAACCGGGTGGAGATGTGCACCGCCGTGCGCCAGGCCTCAAGGCAACGGTTTTCTCCACGTTCTGGACTCTTCTTTCTCTGCTTCCATCTATGTGAGGCAGCCCACTCTCCTGTGCTCCTGGGTGTGCCGTTCTGGCTGGGCCAGGGCGGGGGTCTGGCCCCTACGTGGGCTCCCCCTTGTCCCCAGGAGCACAGTCCCCAGGCAGGGGTGCCAGTGAGCTCGGGAGCCGGCGCTGCTGCTCCTTGGAGCAAGGCCTGGGATCCTGTGGGAAGCCCGCGGGAGGCGGCCGCCCCGGACAGGACAGCGTCCCTGCCAGTTCCACACTCTGCTCCTGTCTGTGGGGCGGGGGGTGAGAGGATAA